CCTCATTCCTTCCTACCACACCCCATATAAAAGACTGTGGAGCACTGGTGTTTCTGCCTGCAATGGGGCCTCGGTGCAGGGGTGTCAGGAGTACTGGAGTCCTCCAGGAACAGTCCCAATTCTGTTTCCTTCCCAGACAACTTGCTCAGCATAGCTCTTCCCTGGGCATTGGAGCTCTGGGGCATCAGACCTGGGAAGCCATGGGATTAGTCTGGCCCAGCCTTGATTTCAGTGCTACCTTCCTAGCAGGCTATGACCCCTCCCGCTGCCTCTTTCCACAGCCTCATCTTCTTTCTCCTCCTTTGCTTCTGGTTCTCTTCCCAGTGCAGGGGAGAGCTCCTGGGCCTAAGCACTGGGCTGGGCCTGAAAGTTGCCCTGCAACCGCCCCCCCATGCAATATGTGGTAAAGTTCCAACTCATACCAGGCACCCAGGGAGTTCATGGATGGCTCCTCACTTCAGGGTTCCCTACCCACTACACCTCTGAGGGTAGCTCCTGCTGCTTGGAAAGTCTGAAAAATCAACTCTCCTTCACTGCATCCTGCAGAGATCCTAGCTATTGGGGCGGGGCATGCCTAGCACCTGCCAAGCCCCTACACCTGAGTGCTTCCTCCTGACCTACAGCCCGTGTAGTACCATTGACAGAAGCCTCAGGGTGGCACCAAGATCTTAGGTTATCAAATCAGGGGACTATAGGAGACTAGTCTGGTCGACACACAGCATGATCGGTGAAGTCCATACTTCAGACCTCCTGTCTAGCTAGTGTCCTCTTCTTGTCCTAGGACCCCATCCAGGGTGCCTCATTACAGACACCACTCCCCTTGGCCATTCTAAGGAGCTCTAGTCAGTACCTGGTGCAGTGTCCTCGGGTGGTGCTGAGGGGCTGCCTGTTGTTTCTCTCACGACTATCTCTCCACCATAGTTGTGAGCTGGGTGAAGCACTACTCGGCCCTTCACAGTGAGGACTGGCATTGACTCTGGTGACACTCTGTGGTGGTATTTGTCAGGTTTCTCCACTGTCAAGTTGCCCTGTCCCCTTTTCCTACTGAACTCCTAAGAAGTCAAGGCATAGTTCATACCCAAGGGGTGGGGAGCCAAGCTATCCTTCTCCAATGAGGAATTATCTCACATGAATTAAATGTTTGTTATTTATTTCAAATATGGAACACTTCATGAATTTGAGTGTCATCCTTAGGGGTCATGCTAATCTCCAATTTTAGTTTAGTATATGTGCTGCTAAATTGGGCATTTTTTTTTTTTTTTTTTTTTTTTTTTTTTTGGAGCCAGGGTCTCATTAGCCCAGGCTGGCCTCAAACTCCCTATGTAAGTAAGGCTGGTCTTGAACTTTTTTCTCATGATGTTGTGTGGACACAAAGTTGCCACAGCACATATATGGTGTTCAGAGGACAACTTTCAGGAGTCACATCTCTTTCCTTCCTCCATGGGGCTGAACTCAGGCCACCAGGCTTTTGTGGCAAGCTTGTATCTACTGAGCCAACTTCCCAGCCCCAACCTGGCCTCCACCTCCCAAGTGCTGGAATTACAGGTGTGTGATGCCATGTCTGCCTTTAAATTTTTTTTTTTTGATTAATCTGTATGGGATTTGCTATGATATTTTTGTACATGTATGGAATGTATTTTGATCATTTTCATCCTCCATTGACTTCTCTTGCCCTCTTCCCAACCAACCACCTTTCCCCATTTCATGTCCTCCCCACCCCCATTTCCCTTCTTGGTGACTCGATGAATCCCATTAGGGTTGCTTACAGAACATGGGTAAGAGGTTCTATTTATGGGAGCATGGCCACCTAACCAGTGGCTACATCATTAAAGAAAATGACTGGGGGCTGGAGAGATGGCTCAGTGGTTAAGAGCACTGGCTGCTCTTCCAGAGGACCCAGCTTCAATTCCCAGCACGCACATGGCGGCTCACAGCGGTCTGTAACTCAGTTCAGGGGATTGGGCACCCATGACACATGTGCCAGCGAACATAAAATAGTTATTTTTTAATTTCTTAATTTTTGTAATAAAAAAGGAAGAAAATGGCTCTTTCTCCTCCCAGCAACCATTAACTGTCTATAGATCTTTAGGGACAGAAAATCCTCATGAGCCCCTCACCCATGGCTACTATTAACTCTCTATAAATGTTAATGGAGGGTTGGGGCCCTTGTGAGTTCCTCCCACCCCATAACTGGATTTTGATGGGCCCAATCCTATGAAGCCATATCCATTTTCTGTACTGTTTTGTTTTGTTTTTAATGTAGTTCTGAGAATCAGATCCAGGTTCACATATGCCAGGAAAGCATTCTACCACCTGAGTACACCCTCAGCCCCTGCATTTCTCCTGTAGGCGGGGGGGGGGGGTTTGCATTATTAGTTCCTCTATTTATTTATGCTCTTGTGGGTATTTATTTCATACTCTAAAACCTACTGTGTTTGATCCTGATCTCCCTAGTATGCCAGGGCAGTTAGTAAAATGTAGGCAGTGAACCTCATGTCTAACAAATATCAGCCATTGTCTCTGGAGCACCAACGGCTGGGTTATCAGTGTCACAGGCAGAAACAGTCTGAGCTCAGAGCACTTTGGGAAGCAACCCCATCTTTGAAGAGCAGTGCTCCGGTGTAGTTGAGAATTTGATGTGTAGTAAACAGTGTTTCTGCAGGCCTGGGAATGGAGGTAGAACAGCCCCACCGAGCCTCAGGCCCTGTCCGTGGTCCTGCCCTGCGTCCTCTCCCTCAGCCGGAGGCTTCCCATTCCCACCCAGAACTGCTGCAGGCAGCGGTGAGGACTGAGGACGAAGGAGCACACAAGAAAACAAGATGAAATTGAGTAGGAACTAGGGATGAGCCACAGGCTTCGACTGATGAAACTAATGAGAGACATGAGGCCTGACCCCTTTAACAAGTCAGGGTCCTGGTGGGGACTGTGCCAGAGTCACGTGGATGCGCAGTCCGAAAGAGAGGACATACTTAAAAACTAAAAATCAGAAGTGGACAGTTTGGGGCTAAACAGAGCAGTGTGATGGTAGTTTATGTAAGCTCAAATGTGAGGATCATTTGGGGGAGGGGCTAGGTTAGAATACATGGTGCAGTGTGATCTCATTTCCTGGAGAAAGCCACATGTAAGTAAGTACAGGGGCAGCTCATGAAGGAGGTGACCAGAGTGTCACCTCCTGGGGGACAGTATCTATTTTTGACTGTCCGAATTTGCAACCTGCTGTACTCCACAGAAACTCCTGCTATGATACAAGATTATTAGTAAGTAAAGGAATCACTGACCAGCTCCAGGGTGGAGGATCTCTGTCTCGGCAGAAGTTTTCAAACAGATCCCAGGAGGTTTTAGTAGCCAGAAACTTGGTGTGAGCAGAGAGTGTGTAGAACCACTGAAAAGGCACCTCCCCTCCCCTGTGTGTGTACCGACCAGGTCCAGCACTATTAGTGCTAGGAAAACAATTCATCAGTGACATCTGTGGAAACCTGTCCCCCACCCCTGCTGGGTGGGTGGGAAATGGCTTCAGGCTTCAGACAGGGGTGAAAGGGTAAGAAGGGATGGGGTGGAGGAGTGATGTTTCCAAATTGTTAAAGGCTACAGTGCAGAAGGGAACCCCAGGTGAGTCCCCATGATGGCAAAGTGACCAGAAGGTTTGTTTCTGAAGTGTAGAGGGAGGAGGATCTAAGGACAGGAGGTGTCTGTCCAGCCTGGAGATGTATTACAGGGCTTTGGCCTTCTGCCAGAGGTTGCAGTGAAGTCATCCCCATACACGAGGGTCTTTGATTCTGGAATTCTAGGTTCCAGCCAAAGCAAGGAGACTCCACACCAGCAACCTGCACTGTCCTGTGTTAGGGATGCTCAGGCTGTGGCCTCCTGTGTTAGGGGCTGCACACCCTGCTCAGGTGGGAGATGCTGGCTAAGAAGACAGACTCTGCTAATCTCTGTAGAAGAAAGGCTGAGGTAGCAGCAGCAGATGCCCCAACCAAAGCAGAGAAGAGGTAGAGAATGAGCTTCATAAGGGAACAACAGGAGTAAGCTTCCTGGGATGGGGGACCAAAGTCCTTACATCCACACCTGCCTCCTTCCTCCACCTCCCGCTCTCGGGGATTCCCAGGTTCTGGCCAGCTACCTAGAAAGGGATTATTATTACCTCCCACTTGTCAGGTGACAAGAAGGCATCAGCCGGACTGGTCATAGCCCAGGTCCTCCCATGTTCTAAAATGCCATCCCGACCTGTTCTGTAACAGAATGCCACTCAGTACACATTTGGGACTAAGGTTCCAAGCTTTCCACATAGGGTCTGAGATCTCACGTGGCCTTGGAAACCCAAATCTCAGTCAGGGCTTCTGAATCCAGAAGATGCCAACCACTGCAGGGCTGCGTGAACACAGTGCCCTGTCCTCTCAGACACGGACACTAGCCCCTGTGTGGATGGCAAGAGGACACTAGCCCAATGGGCAGTTATTCCTCACACACTGGCAGTTCTGATCCTGCCATTCCAGACCGGCTAACAGCCCCCACAGTTCTGCTCTGTGCCACCCATGCGGCCCTACATCAACACCAGAGACTCAGCTAACCACTCCCAGCTTGGTCCTGGCTGGCCCCCTGCAGCCAGTACAGCCCGCTGCCTGTCAGGCCTGCCCATCTAGCTTGAGTGGGAGGTCCCTAGGAACTGGGCCAGAACCCAGGGTGGCCCCAAGCAGATATCTCTATTCTAGGTTGGGTAGGTGCAGCTAAGGACCAGAGACTGCAGATCAGCCCTGCTTGTCCCTGTCGCCCTTAGGCCTGGTGCTGTGCATATACACCCCTGAGACTTGATAGGTGTGGGAGGGGGATGTCTAGAAGCTAGATTTGAGAGCTCCTCTCATTGGGGATGGCCTGGAGGGAAATGCAGGTGGACAGGCCGGCTACCGCGGGTGTGTCATGTGAAACACAGGCCGGGAGGGAGTGTGACAGCACAGGGTCCCTGCGGTTCCTCCAGCCTGGGGACGCGCGCGAGAGCTCCTTACCTCCTCTCCCTGGCCGAAGCGCAGGCCGAGAGCGGCGACGCGCTCCACACGCAGAAAGCCGTCCGGGTCGCGGCCACACACCTCGAACACTTCGCGCAGGCGGCGCACGGAGCGCAGCAGAGCCGCGGGGGCGCCCGCCCAGCCCGCGCCGCCCGCCATCCGCGCCGCCCGCAGCTAGCCCGAGCCCCGCGCCGCCGCCATCGCGCTCGCACCGCCCGGGTCTGCGGCGCGCAGCCTCCGCCCGCGGCGGCCGCTCGTGTCAGCCGCTCGTGTCTGCCGCGCGCCGCGGGCCCGCGTGGGGGCGGGGCGGGGCTGCAGACAAAAGGACCCGAGCCGCCCCAGGCTCCGCCCCTTCTAGACCTGATCGGGGGGCGGGGGCGGAGGACCGGCCCCTGCGCTGCCAGTGCACCCCGTGACAAGCCGGTGCACACGTCCTTTGTCAGTTCTGGGTGTTGCAGGTGTTCCTACCTGAGTGAGTTTGATTGCTACATTCGCTTCCTCAGAAGCTGAGACGCTGCGGAGAGGCCGCGCGGCTTGTTGAGGGCTAGGGAGGGGCGCAGTGAGGAGGTGCGGGGGAGCGGGGGGGGGCATGGAAGAGTGGCGGGTGAAGGGGACCAAAAGTAGGTGAGAGGAAGAATGAAGCCATTGGGCTTGGTGTCCTCAGGGCTCAGGAGCCCGGAGCTCCTCCTGTCCGCTTGCATTTTCTGGCAGCTCCTCGGGCCCTAATCTCGGAGCCCAGGGCAGGACTCCATCCTGAGTGTGGTGACACAGCCTGTTTCTTGCCTCCGGGTGAAGTTCAGCTGAGGTTCATCCGGCCCAGCGGAGCCCAGGCGCAGCCTGCTGTCCACCTAGCACCTTGCTCAGCCTTACCAGGGTGGTTGTTCCTCTACTCAGGCACAGACATTGCCTGAGCACACTTCCAGACAGAGCAGCTTTCTTCCTCTGGGAAACCTGGTCTTTCTCCCTCACCAAAGTTCTGAACCCTCCTTCCAAACCCACTCGTATTTCCGAAACTCTTCTAGAAGGAGCATGTCCCTCACCATGGTCTTAGTCACCTCATGTCCCTGATCGCGGGCCATGTGTGAGCTCAGAGCAGATGGTCAGCCCAGAGCAATCCAGTGTCTGGACAGGGAAGAGTAGGGGACTTGGACCCAGTTCTGCACAAGGTTTGCGGGCCGCCCTGATCTGAGCCTGTTGCCCTCTCATCTTCAGGCGACTCTTGGGTATGGATGTCCTGTGTAGGGACTGCTGAGTCTGCCCTAGAGTCCTGACTGCAGGGGTCATCAAGGCTGGTCCCATTTGATACTCTTACTCTTCCAGAGCTCAGATCTCCCTAGGAAAAAAGCCACGAGGGTTTGAGGGTCAGGATACAACTGTATTCATGATGTCAGCTATTGGAGAGGGCAGGTATATTGTTCTGGGAAGTGCTTTTTTTTTTTTTTTTTTTTTATTTTTTCTTTTTTCTGGTAACTGGATGCTTCTCTGTGAGGTACTAATACATGAATGAATGAATGAATGAGTTAATGAAATGAATGAAAAACGAAAGGCAGGTGGTAGCTGGGGTTTGCCCCTTAGTGGGAGCAGCAAGAATGTCTCTCATAGCTCACCCTGTCAATATAACCCCTGGAAGCGAGACCTGGAAAACAAGAGACCTTACTCACCTCAACTGGCTTAGGTGGGGCCTCAGATCAATCCAGGAGAACAAATCCAAAGCTCATGACCACATTCAAGTTCTCCACAAAGACAAATTCCAAAGCCTCCCTTACCAGATCCTGGGACAGTTCTGAGCTCTGTAGTACAGGCTTGCTCCAAATGCACAATCTTCCTGTCACTTCTCCAGTGCAGAGATTAAAGGCCTTTGCCACCATACCTGACTCCTGCCTCACCATAACCACTGGACGCTCCCTAGCTCTTGCCTCCAGGCCTGGGAGCCTCTTCCATTTCCTGTGGCAAATTCCCTTCCAGATTCTGTGGAGCGGGCATCTCCCATAGGAAGGCTTGTCCTTGATGCACCACCACACTCCTTTGCAATCTCATGAAGCATCAAAGGCAAGCTCATCGACACAAGAGGACAGTCGTGACCATGGGTAGAACCAGGCACTCTTCAGCCGTAGCTCAGGAAGCCAGTGGCCACCCAAAAAAAAAAAAAAAAAAAAAAAAAAAAAAAGTTGAAGATATCAGGGAAAAAAATCTCCCAAGAGCCTCTACAGGGACACAGCCCTGTCAACCCATGCATTTGACTTCCAGAAAAGAGAACACATTTCTGTTTTTGTTTTTTGTTTTTTTCTTTTGGTTTTTTTTTTGTTTGTTTGTTTTGTTTTTTAAGCCACCAAGCTTTATGGAGTTTGTGGTAGCCCAACAGCCGCAGCGACTAATAACAGCTCTTGATGTGAGTTGTTGGTGCTAAGTCATATCAGCAGCTGAGCTGAGCAAAGGCCTGGTGCTCTTTTAGCCCACCATTCATATCTGGAAAGCAGGGACTATAGTTTCTACTTCACAGAGGTCTGGTAGGTATGTAAGGAGAGCTTGTGTGCATTGTCTTGCCCAGGGCCTGGCACACAGTGACCCACCCATGTGTCAGTATAGACAGGCTCAGAGCCAGTCTACAGGGAATGTATTGCTGAGATAGGGTCTTGTGTAGCCTGAGTTGGACTCCAGCCTCCTATGTAGTCATTGATGATTTTGAATTTCTGATCTTCCTGTCTTCACCTCTCAAGTGATAGGATTGAGGGCCTGTGGCCATCTCGTGTTGCCGATGATGCAACTCTGAGCCCCTTGCATATTCTCCACCAACTAAGCTTTATCCCAGCCCCAAAGGAGTGCATTTCTTCTGTCGTCAGTCCACAGGTTTTAACTTCCCTATCCAGGCTGCCCAGAAATGGAGCAGGACTCACAGGTTGCAGATATTTCTCAAACCATGAATAATTATCACTTTGGAGAGGAGGAGGTGGTAAAATTATTCCTTCATCACCTGCCTCAGGCGTGGAGTGTAGAGCGCTCACACACTTCCAGTCACACAGCAGGTCCTGGGGGGTGTGATGGGGCCCTGCCTGGCCTGGACTACACTGGGAGGCACAGAGTCTGAGGCCTCATCCTTCCTTGTCTGCAGGAGCTTGGGTGAGGAAAGGTGCCCACCCAGAACCTTTCCAACTCCCAGAAGCAGGAAGCTGAGGGCTGGAGTTCCTTCTAGGATTCTTTTATTATTTAAAAAAAATTAAAGATTTATTTATTTATTACGTATACAGCGTTCTGCCTCCAAGTATGCCTGTAGGTCAGAAGAAGGCACCAGATCTCATTACAGAGGGTTGAGAGCTACCATGTGGTTGCTGGGAATTGAACTCAGGATCACTGGAAGAGCAGCCAGTGCTCCCCATTAATTATTATTATCATCACTGTTATTATTACTTATTTGAGACTGGTTCTCACTATGTAGCCCTGGCTGGCCAGGAACTGCATCTGCTCCTGGAGCGAAGGGGTTAAAGGCATGTGCTACCACATTCTTCCCTTTGAAGAGTAAACATCAAAACCTCCCAGATCCTGCTCCACTGGGCTCCACATCCTGCTACCAGCTGTAGAAAGGGCCCCTGAAGGTGGTTCATGGGCAGGGCAATAGCATTTACCCTTCAGGGTTTCCAAAGCAGATATACCCTCTCACCCGGCCCTGCCGCCTCCCACTCCCTTGCAGGCTGCACAGGCCTGCATTTTCTAGTTTCTCCTTCTCTGTTGCTCCTTCTGTTTAACAGTCCCCACCCCCCAGCCCTCAGCCTGGGCTGAAGCCAGAAGCCCCTTTTGGTGCAGGGCTCCTTCCTGGTGTGCACACACAGGCTCTGCTTTGCTGAGCAGTTACAGTATACCAGGGTCATGTGGTGCAGATCCCACCTTCTACATGGAGTTCATCAGTAGACCACAGATGCTACAGCTGCTCTTCTCAATGGATGGTCCTCCCTTCTCCATCCTCGGTCACCTCATCCAAAAAGCTCTCCTGAGCTCTGCTGGCACAGGGCTTCACTTGGCCCTTGCTTCACAAGTGTTTCCATGGCTAGTGGTGAGGCCCTCCCCACTCCCCATCCATTCCCCTTGTTCTGGCCAGGTCACCAGCCCCCTTCTCAGCACTGAAGGAATTGTTTCAAGTTCAGAGAAACAGTTGCAGGAAAAAAAAAAAAAAAAAAAAAAAAAAAGTCAAAGACACAGGCAGTGCCCTCAGAGAGATGAGGGAGAATGGGAAGGCAGCAGGTGGCTAGAAGCCCAAAACACTGAGGATGGTGCCTGAGCTCAGAAGCATAAAGCCTGTCCTCTGTGTTTGTGCACATGTGTGTATTCAGGCCCCTTAGCAGCCATGAGAGTTGCCTCACCTGGCTGATGTGTGGAGAGCCCGAGCCGTGAGCAGAGGTCCTGGAGAGGGGAGGGAAGGGTTGTAGTGACTGCTGTCCTCCCTCCTCTTAATGTCAATCCTGCAAATATTCCCCCAAAAGAAGAGGAACAAACCCAGCCCCCTGGAATCTAAAGTAGTTAAATTCACACTGAGTATTCCTGTGTGAGCATGTACACATACATGCATGTGGTGCATGCATCATTCATTCCTAAGGAGAAACCGTGGTTTCTTGTTAAATTTACTTATTTATGTGCAAGTATATATGCTTGGGCAAGAGTATGCCACATGCCTACAGAAGCCTAAGGAGTTCAGAAGAGGATGCAGAGCCACACACGGGCCATTGTGAGCTGCCAGTGTGGGTACAAGGAACCTACGTGAAGTCCCCTGAAAGAGCACAAGTGTCTTAACCAGCTCCCCCCAACTTGTTTTTTGAGACAGGGTCTCTCACTGGGACCTAGTACAATAGGCCATGGTAGCTGCCCAGTGAGCTCTGGAACCCTCCTGTCTCTGCCTTCCTGGCTCAGGAATTACAAGTGTGCACCACCATACTCATTAAAAACCTTACCTTCTGACAAAAGGAAAAAGAAACATCAGGACACAGTGGCTCACCCACAGACCAACTCCATTATCATGACTGTCTTACGCTTATGATTAAAAACAGCCTAATTATTGTTGTTTTTAATTTAAAAACTTAAAGTTAGCATATAAAGCAATGGGTTTCATTTTCATACATACGTGTCACTGACTTCAATTTTAAGCTGTAATACTTTCTGTAAAAACAGGCAAATATTTAAAAGAAACAAAACTTACCCATCATTACTGTTGGCTACATTCCCCTTCCTCCTAGTCTTCAATGAAATCAACTATACATAAGCACATTTTTTTATCTACACAACTGAGGACTAACCCTTATACAACTTAAA